CTACGCGAAGAATGAACAAGGGGATGCGATCATGGACCAGGACGAGTATATTAAACAACGACGTCCTACCACACATCCTGAGCTTACGGGAGCAGCGGCAGACGCCAAGGTTACCAAACTCATCACCGACGTGTTCGTTAGCCTGGGAGGAGCTCTCGCCTATGCCCTTCTTATTCAAGTCTGGCTCATGGTGCATGTGGTATCTCTCCAGAAGATCCAAGAGCCCACCAACTTACAAGTCAGACGACTGAACGCTGTGACGCGAAAGCTGATCAGCAGCCCGAGACGCATCACCTTCCCTCGGATGAAACCGACGACTGAAGTAGACATACATAGTGATTCGGGGTATCGGAAACTCACCGGGGAGGAGGACGATGAAACCAAGGGCTACGGCATTCGTGGGGCTAACGTATTATGGCGAGGAAACTCGCCCCAAGGCAAATCCGTCGTTCACCTTTGCGACGGACTATGCAAGTCACACCGACTGCAGGCGAGGCCCAGCTATGCCGCTGAGGCACTTGCAGCTGCACATAATCTTGATGAATGCTATCCCACGCTCATCACTCTCCACGAGCCCAAGGCTGGAGCACTTACCCCACGACAACTACGAGATATGCGAGAAGTTGGAGGCCTAGCTGTCAAAGTATCCCTGACTATAGACGCTGAGTCTGTATACAACTCGTTATCCAGCAAAGACCTTAAGATACCGACGGGACGTACTTTGCTGGGACATAGCAGCCGGATACGTGAGCTCATGGATATAGGCATAGTGCATGACGTACAGTGGTGTGACACCAGAGACACGACCGCAGACGGGCATACAAAGGGGGGTATCGATCGGGAGCTGATTTTGGAAGTGATGTCAGGCACTCAGTCATTTAAGTACGACGTGAAGCATTTTGTTCCCTTTCGGGGCTCCGGGGACAAAACCAAACCTAAGTCGAATCAATTTTAGTCTGTCCTCGTTGCCCCTGCGGTCCAGTTTGCCAGCACGGGCGCCTAATGCGGAGGCGCCCTCTTTCCTGCTCGGAAACGAGCCATACTTTTCACGCTTGGCAACGAGCCTGTTCAGGTTGGTTCAGGCTCTTTGCCTTAATACCCTTGTGCCCGGAGGGGAATAGCCTGTTTGGCTTACCTCTAGCAGGGCCGATAGCCCTTGTCTATCCGAGGGGCTATCCTGCGCGTGCGTGGAAAAGTTCTGCGAGGAAACTCGCCGGCGAATAATCTCGCCCTTCGGTCTGGTGGTTGACCAGACTGCGTGTACCGTTTTCCTTGCAAACAGTTGCGCGCGCCTGTCGAGAGCCCAGCGACCGCGCGGCTCTGCTCTCCGTCTCTTCCCTTCCCGACTTTAAGGGTAGCTCTTTGGGAGATGTTATAGATAATCGGGTGTGTAGCATGCGCGTCGCTGCCTTATGGCTCAAGGTACGCGCGCCCTATTTGCCCGGATACCTGACTTGGGATTCGCTATGTGCTGGAAAGATCACTACATCGATCTTATCCTATCTTACTCATCCACACCCCATATCGTATTCCTTCGACATGGAACTGGATGCAATATGACCTACCAGAGCCATGTCAGACTAGCCCCCCACCAGGCCCCAAAAGGCTCACAGGAGACGTACACGGGGCCCCAAGATAGCCGAAAAGTGCTTTCGATGCATCAAAATTGCTTTAAGGAGGCCCCGGGAGGCTTCCGGATTGCCCCAGTGTGGCCTCAAGCCGGGCCCCCAAGCAGCCAAGACGGCCAATTTGACTGCTTCAGACTGCAGAACATCACTTTCCGATTGCCCGGAGAACCCTGACGATGCCCCCAAGGAACCCCAAGAAGCCCCAAGATGCCCCCCCCCGAGAAGCACCCAAGAGGTGCCTCCAACAGCCAATTGAGGCAGCACGGAGAGACCCCCAGAAGCCTTCCAGATGCCCCCACGAAGACCCAAGAGGTTCCCAAGAGGCCCTCAGTAGGCACGACTGTGTCACGCGCCTGTGCTTGATAGCGCTGTCCAAGATTTTCCAGCGCGCCCCCGAACTGGGCTAGAATCTGAGCGCGCGCGAAGCGCGCGCGATGGTTCTAGTACATGTGTATAGGCTTGGTAGAAATAGGTGTCTCTTGTTTTAGTTGATTGTTCTTACTTTTACAATAGAAAATAACACGTCTCGGGTTAGGGTTCCAAACCTGTGGCGAGCCACGTTGCAACATCAAAAACACACGCCGTCGGACGTCTGGGTTCTTCGTCGTCGTTGTCGTCGTCTTCCGCGCCGTGAGGCCGCGGGTTGCTTCGGCTCGCGCTGGCGCAGTGGCCTACGGAACACGCTTGCAGTTGTTCTTTCAGCTCGATGCCTCAGGGTTTCGTTCGCATGGGGCCCCGCAGAAGTGGGAAGCAAATGTATAAGTTTGGTGCAATTCTTTTCACGACGCGAGGAGGTTTGGGGGCCCTGCTCAAAAATCGGCCGTCGGACCTCTCCCGGGGCACGTTCTGGCCAGGATTTCGAGGAGACCCCAGCCGTGTCGACGAGAAGCCTCCCAGAGGCCCACAACGGGTTGAGTGCAGTCAAGACGCTGAAACAAGGTCCACTCTGGGCTCAGGAGGGACTCCGACTGTCGGGCCGTTCCTCGGGATCCAGGTCGTGGAACCCGTTCGTGGCCGAGGCCCGCCGCGGCCAGAAAGGCCGCCTCGTCCCCTGCTCGGCGCTCCTGCTGGCAGCACGGCGACTCTGCGTCCATGGCCTCGACCCCCGATCCTCGAGCGAGGGGCGCCGCCTGGAAGCCAGGCCCCACTGCCCGGACCCGACGCCGATCTCGAGGGCGCTGGCGCTGGGCAGGCGGCGCCCGTGCCCTGCCGCAGCGCCCGCTGCGCCGCCCTGCCGGCCGCCGCCCTGCCGGCCGCGCTATGCCGTCCTCACCGCCCTCCTGCGTCTTCGAGGGCTCGAGGGCTCGAGGCTCGCCAGAGGAGGGAGAGACAGCGATACCGTCGGCCAGCCCTCGTCGCCACGGCTGGGCTCGCTCCGGAGTCCTGGTCAGAACGCGCCCTAGGCGAGGTCTGGGGAACAGCGGTACCGGCATCTCTCTGTCCCCCCAGTTCAAGGGTCAGGGTAGGTGTTCCCCAGTTTCGGCCGCTGCGGGCCTGGCCCCGAGCCCAGGGGGCGTCAGAAATCTGCATGGGTGGCCCGGCATTCCCTTACCCACGACATCCGCCGCCCGACCCACCCGTCAGGGTCCGCCCGTTCGTTTGTTGGGAAGCCCACCCGCTCGCTTTGCTTTCACGCCCGTTGGGACCCGCCCGCAAGGGTCCGCCCGCCCGACTCGTTTGTCAGGGTCCGCTCGACCCGCCCGTTCGCGCCCCCCCGCACGATGCGCCTGTCTCAACCTGTCGGGGTTCATCCAGCAGCTGGCATGGCAAAGGTACCCCCAAGGAGGGTACGCTCATAGGCGAAGAGGGCGGGTGTCGTGGGCGTCGGGTATACATGTTGAGGGGCAGTGGGAAATTTAGAGCGAGTTGTCTTGACATGGTTGTACTTGTTTCGGGCCGGTGTTGGCGCAGCCCCGAAACGCTCGAGCGTGAGCTTCGCCCCCTAAGAACATGTAGCCGGCGCAGAGGCGACAGCGCCAAAGCGGATACCGGGCGTCCAACAAGTCCAAAAATCATCACTGGTGGAAAACAAGATTCAGCGTCGACCGCAGCAGCATGTTCTCCAAGACAGTAGTTATGCCTTCTCTCTTGGCTGCTTCCCTTTGTGCCGTTCCCGCATCCATCTGCACCGCATCCTTAGGTGATGCTGGTGCCTTCCATGGCGCGTGCCAGGCAGGCCTCTCTGTCGCCTCTGCCATCTCGGCTCAAGCCAGGCGTGCAGCGCTACCCCGATCACGGTTTACCAAGGCCAAGCTTCCAGGCGGCGGCTCGCCCGATCGTGGGCAGTCGGCAGGAGGGAGCCTTGCGCGCGATCTTCAGCCCTCTCCAGCCCTCGCTCAAAATCGGCTCACCTCCCTGCCTTGGGGCACGTTCTGACCAGGATGTCGAGGGTGCATCCAGCCGCGGCGACCAGGGACCCCCAGGCAGGAGGCTCGATAGCACAAGCGACCAAAGACAACGAAGCTCCTCCTCACTTGCAGGTTTCAGGAGGTCCGCGCCAGGCTTCTGGAGGTCCGCAGGAGGCTTCCAAAGATCCCTTGAGGCTTTGGAGGCTTTGGGGAGAGGGGAGCAAAAAACATACCAATCACAAAAAGCTGTTACTCTCGAGCTCCGGGCTCAGATCCCCTCGAGTCCGTCCCCGTCCTCCTACTCCTCCCTCCTCTTCCGCCTCCTCCTTGCCTGGCGAGCTCAGCTGCTTCGCCTCAGGAGCTCCGACGGCCCCATGCACTGCGGTGTCTCATCCTCCTTAGGACAGGGTCAAGGTTCGAAGTTCTGGCCAAAACGCATCCTGGAAGCGGTCCAGATCTCTGGCGACAGGGCAAATCATGACGCAGGCGAATTTCAAGTTCTGGCATGCATTGGCAATATGCGTGCCCAAAGGTCTTTAGCAAAAGAGCCCGCGATGAAAAACGGGTCCACGGGAAGGGGTCCAAAGTTCCAGGGCCCACATTATGCATAAAAAGTGACGTCGGATTTCTGGCGAGGGCTAGATCCTCGGGACAGCCGTTGTGGATCAAGGACACGCTGTTCCCCTTTTTCTGGCACCCCCAGAGGGCTCTCATGGCCGTGGCTGGACGCGGCTCAAACAAGTTGCTAGGCTGCACCGCGGGAGGAGTATCCCGAGGCGTCGAGAGCTCATCGAGGATCCCACTGTGTTGGTTTGCGATCCGTTCTGGGTCTCCACAACTGCTAACGGGCCCCTGTGACCTGGAGGACGAAGGTTGCCCGAGGCCATGGAAGCGACGAGACGTACAGGGGATAGGCAGCTCGCTCTTGCGCGTCGTTGCGATCTCTCTGGCGGTGGGCCCCCGCATCGCCTCTGCTATGTCTTTCTCGCTCCACGACCCCGGCCCCGGGGCTCGCAGGTTCACGATGGCGTCGAAGGCGCTCCTGACCATTCTCGCCGAGGCCACCCTGCTGGCCGCGTGCGCCCCAGGCGCTAAGGCCCCCGACTGCCTCCCTCGGGTCCTCCATGTCCTTCGCCTTTCGGGAAAAGTAGGAGGAGGGGGAGGAGACGAGGTAGGACGAGGAGAAGGGGAGGAGGGGGATGATGCATGGGGAGGAGGAGGATAGGAGGAGAAGGACTGTTAGAAGGAAGTCCTGAAGTGTCTGGGGAGTTGAAGCGCTGTCAGACTCAAGTGTTACAAGCCGTCATCTAGCGGCTGGTGGTATGTACTGTGACATTTCTTTGTCATCGTTCTGGTCTAAAAGATTCCTCTCGCTTCGCGGGGTGCACGTCCGGAGCACGTACAGTCACGTCGTCGCGGGGCATCTTGGGAGCCTCTTGGGGGCCTCCTGGAGGCCTCCTGGGAGCTTTTTGGGAGCCGTTTCCCCCTTCCTTTGCATACACCCTCCCCATCTTCCCTTCCAGCGCCGGCTCTAATCATGGGTGCCGCAGTGACCAACTTCCACCTGGCTGGCGCTGCGCCGCAGTTCGCCCAGAGGGGGGAAAATGACATTACACTCCAGTCGCTGTGTGGCCTTTGGGGGGCTTTGTGGGGGCCTTTTGGAGGCTTCTGGGGGGTTTCTTGGAGGTTTCTTGGGGGCCTCTTCGGGGCGTTTTCGGCCGTCTTGGCGTTTTTGAGCAGTTTCGCCCCCTCGGAGGCTGTCCTGGGGGCCTCTCGCGGCCGCATTGGAGCCCTCTTGGGGTCCTCTAGGGCCGTCTTCGCGGCCTCTTGGACCGTCTTGGGGGCCTCTTTGGGCCGTTTTGGGGCCCTCCTGGGCCGTCTTGGAGCCCTCTTGGGGGCTTTTTGGTTCGTTCTGGGGCGATTCTGGCAGCTGCTTGGGCCGTCATGGATTTGTGAAAGTCGAAAAAGACGAGAACGTTAAAATATTGAAATTACGCTACCGAGGAAACCCACAGACTTAATTTAAATCTTATGTGTTTGCTTATGTATTATATATATATATATATATATATATATATGCACAATCCTGCGTTCTGAGCCCTCTGAGCGACCGAGCTGAAAGACCACCCCCTGCGCACCCCCTGTGGTGTCGAGAAAGTGCCACGCTTGCTAGGTTTGCGCCAGTGTCGTGGATAGCGGCCGAGCTGAGAGACCACCCCCTGCGCACCCCGTGTGGTGTCGAGAAAGTGCACGCCTGCTAGGCTTTGCGCCAGTGTCGTGGATAGCGGCCGAACTGAGAGACCACCCCCTGCGCACCCCCTGTAGTGTCGAGGAAGTGCCACGCCTGCTAGGCTTTGCGCCAGTGTCGTGGATAGCGGCCGAACTGAGAGACCACCCCCTGCGCACCCCCTGTGGTGTCGAGAAAGTGCCACGCCTGCTAGGTTTTGCGCCAGTGTCGTGGATAGCGGCCGAGCTGAGAGACCACCCCCTGCGCACCCCCTGTGGTGTCGAGTGCCACGCCTGCTAGGCTTTGCGCCAGTGTCGTGGATAGCGGCCGAGCTGAGAGACCACCCCCTGCGCACCCCCTGTGGTGTCGAGAAAGTGCCACGCCTGCTAGGCTTTGCGCCAGTGTCGTGGATAGCGGCCGAACTGAGAGACCACCCCCTGCGCACCCCCTGTGGTGTCGAGAAAGTGCCACGCCTGCTAGGCTTTGCGCCAGTGTCGTGGATAGCGGCCGAACTGAGAGACCACCCCCTGCGCACCCCCTGTGGTGTCGAGAAAGTGCCACGCCTGCTAGGCTTTGCGCCAGTGTCGTGGATAGCGGCCGAGCTGAGAGACCACCCCCTGCGCACCCCCTGTGGTGTCGAGAAAGTGCCACGCCTGCTAGGCTTTGCGCCAGTGTCGTGGATAGCGGCCGAGCTGAGAGACCACCCCCTGCGCACCCCCTGTGGTGTCGAGAAAGTGCCACGCCTGCTAGGCTTTGCGCCAGTGTCGCCACCCCCTGTGGTGTCGAGAAAGTGCCACGCCTGCTAGGCTTTGCGCCAGTGTCGTGGATAGCGGCCGAGCTGAGAGACCACCCCCTGCGCACCCCCTGTGGTGTCGTGTGCCACGAGAAAGTGCCACGCCTGCTAGCGCTTTGCGCCACGCCTGCTAGGCTTTGCGCCAGTGTCGTGGATAGCGGCCGAACTGAGAGACCACCCCCTGCGCACCCCCTGTGGTGTCGAGAAAGTGCCACGCCTGCTAGGCTTTGCGCCAGTGTCGTGGATAGCGGCCGAACTGAGAGACCACCCCCTGCGCACCCCCTGTGGTGTCGAGAAAGTGCCACGCCTGCTAGGCTTTGCGCCAGTGTCGTGGATAGCGGCCGAACTGAGAGACCACCCCCTGCGCACCCCCTGTGGTGTCGAGAAAGTGCCACGCCTGCTAGGCTTTGCGCCAGTGTCGTGGATAGCGGCCGAACTGAGAGACCACCCCCTGCGCACCCCCTGTGGTGTCGAGAAAGTGCCACGCCTGCTAGGCTTTGCGCCAGTGTCGTGGATAGCGGCCGAACTGAGAGACCACCCCCTGCGCACCCCCTGTGGTGTCGAGAAAGTGCCACGCCTGCTAGGCTTTGCGCCAGTGTCGTGGATAGCGGCCGAGCTGAGAGACCACCCCCTGCGCACCCCCTGTGGTGTCGAGAAAGTGCCACGCCTGCTAGGCTTTGCGCCAGTGTCGTGGATAGCGGCCGAGCTGAGAGACCACCCCCTGCGCACCCCCTGGAGTGTCGTGAGAGAGTGCCACGCCTGCTAGGCTTTGCGCCAGTGTCGTGGATAGCGGCCGAACTGAGAGACCACCCCCTGCGCACCCCCTGTGGTGTCGAGAAAGTGCCACGCCTGCTAGGCTTTGCGCCAGTGTCGTGGATAGCGGCCGAGCTGAGAGACCACCCCCTGCGCACCCCCTGTGGTGTCGAGAAAGTGCCACGCCTGCTAGGCTTTGCGCCAGTGTCGTGGATAGCGGCCGAGCTGAGAGACCACCCCCTGCGCACCCCCTGTGGTGTCGAGAAAGTGCCACGCCTGCTAGGCTTTGCGCCAGTGTCGTGGATAGCGGCCGAACTGAGAGACCACCCCCTGCGCACCCCCTGTGGTGTCGAGAAAGTGCCACGCCTGCTAGGCTTTGCGCCAGTGTCGTGGATAGCGGCCGAACTGAGAGACCACCCTGCGCACCCCTGCCCTGCTGCGTGACCACGCCTGCTAGGCTTTGCGCCAGTGTCGTTTTGACGAGATAGTGAGAGACCACCCCCTGCGCACCCCCTGTGGTGTCGAGAAAGTGCCACGCCTGCTAGGCTTTGCGCCAGTGTCGTGGATAGCGGCCGAGCTGAGAGACCACCCCCTGCGCACCCCCTGTGGTGTCGAGAAAGTGCCACGCCTGCTAGGCTTTGCGCCAGTGTCGTGGATAGCGGCCGAGCTGAGAGACCACCCCCTGCGCACCCCCTGTGGTGTCGAGAAAGTGCCACGCCTGCTAGGCTTTGCGCCAGTGTCGTGGATAGCGGCCGAGCTGAGAGACCACCCCCTGCGCACCCCCTGTGGTGTCGAGAAAGTGCCACGCCTGCTAGGCTTTGCGCCAGTGTCGTGGATAGCGGCCGAACTGAGAGACCACCCCCTGCGCACCCCCTGTGGTGTCGAGAAAGTGCCACGCCTGCTAGGCTTTGCGCCAGTGTCGTGGATAGCGGCCGAGCTGAGAGACCACCCCCTGCGCACCCCCTGTGGTGTCGAGAAAGTGCCACGCCTGCTAGGCTTTGCGCCAGTGTCGTGGATAGCGGCCGAACTGAGAGACCACCCCCTGCGCACCCCCTGTGGTGTCGAGAAAGTGCCACGCCTGCTAGGCTTTGCGCCAGTGTCGTGGATAGCGGCCGAACTGAGAGACCACCCCCTGCGCACCCCCTGTGGTGTGCCGCGCCTGCCACGCCCTGCGAGCGTGTCACGGATAGAGGCCCCGCTGAGGGACCACCCTCTGCGCCCCCCCAGCGGCGTCGAGAAAGTGCCGGGCATGCCACGCTCTGCGAGCGTGTCACGGATAGAGGCCACACTGAGGGACCACCCTCTGCGCACCCCCATGTGATGTCGAGAATGTGCCGCGCCTGCCACGCCCTGCGAGCGTGTCACGGATAGAGGCCCCGCTGGGGACCACCCTTTGCGCCCCCCCAGTGGTGTCGAGAAAGTGCCGCGCCTGCCACGCCCTGCGAGCGTGTCACGGATAGAGGCCCCGCTGAGGGACCACCCTCTGCGCACCCCCTCTGGTGTCGAGAAAGTGCCGCTCCTACCACGATATGCGAGCGCGTCACGGATAGAGGCTGCGCTGAGGGACCACCCTCTGCGCACTCTCTGTGGTGTGGTGGTGTGTGGTGTGGCGTGGTGTGGTGTGGTGCGATGTGGCGTGGTGTGGTGTGGTGTGTCTACGAGCGAGAAGGAGGAGGTGAGGTGGGAACGCAGGTGTGATGCGGGTGTAGAGAAGGGGAGGTGAGTGAACGCGGGTGCGACGCGGGTGTAGAGAAAATCAGAACCCCACTTAGAATGTGGGGAAAAACCATGGGAAAATCAATGATTTCGGCCTCTGGAGGCGCAGTTGTGGGCGCTCTTGGGGCCCTCTTGGGCCGTCCTTGGAGCTTTGGAGGCCGTCTTGGGGGCCTCATGGGCCCCCGTTGGGAATATCTTGGGCCGTCTTGGGGCCGTCTTGGGCCGTCTTGGGGTCATCTTTGGCCATCATGAGGCCCTCTTGGAGCCCCAAGAGAAGAGGCCCAAGAGGTCGAATTTGTTGATTTTTCATTTGTTTTTGTCTGTTTTTATGGCCCCGGAAGGGGGGGGGGGCATCTTGGTCGTTCATGTGGCGCGATTGCAGGGGGGGTAGGGGGGCAGACATAATAATGTAACACAATACAGCATGTGGGAATGATGCAAACATTGGACACATTGGATCCACTGCATTACAGCATCCGCGGAAAACGCTGCCGCTCAGCACGTCACTGTCATCGCTCTGGTCTAAAAGATTATCGGGCTTATGCCGCACCGCCGGCCCCTTGGGGGTGTAGTGGGCACACCCCGCCGCCGTGCCTGTGTTGCAGGTTTGACGCTGTTGGGATGGCTGATAGGGGTCGCGTGGTAGGCGCGTCGGGTGCGTCATGGAGGCAGTTTTTGAACCTGTTGGGGGCCTCCGGGCGGCGTGTGGGGGCTTTTTTGTTATCCTTTTGTCGTTCGCTGGGGGCCTCTTGGAAGCTTTTGGGAGACTCGTGGGGGCTTCTTGGGAACGGGAGCTCGAAATGTCCGTTCGGGCTCCCCCTTCTAGGCCTCCCCCAGGAGCCGTCCTCGGAGCCCCCTCGGCCGTCTTGGAAGCTTCTCGGGCCCTCTTGGGGGCCTCTTGGCCCTTCGTGGGTCGATCTTGAAGGCCGCTTCGACCTGGGTGGGTCTCGTGGGAGCATAAGAGGCGATTGTGCTAAAAATGTAGGCTGTCCTAAGGGAGAGGGACGGCTTTTGCTCCTTGAAAGCCTCTTGGAACGCCCCGTGGCGACTTCTTGAAACGTGTTGGTGGCCTCTGGGGCCGCCTGGGGCCAATCTTGGGCGTCTTGGCACGATCTTTCGGCGACTCGTGCCCCTCTTAGACAGTCCGAGGACCCTCTTCGTGCCCTCTTGGCCCGGTTTGGGGCACCCTGTCCCCCATGCCGCGTCCCCAGCGAAACCCCCACCCACCCACCCCAAATCGACCGGACTGGGGTCACGGGGGAGGGGTTTGAGGAGGGGGAAGCATCTCACACGCCGATGAACCCCAAGAGGTCGGCGGATTTCTGTGAACTTTGCATCGTAGCGGAACGAGGTCAGGTCATTATGGCAGTACCAGGGCAATCAGCATCAACAGCTTCAGGAGCCCATGATCCCTGGCTCAACTGAACGCACCAGCAGATCGTGCAACATGGTTAGGCTTTGCCCTGACAGATTCCACGAGTTGCGCGTAGCAGCGCACACGAGTGGAGACTACAACAGTGCAAGAACGGCGCTGCAGAGGAAGAAGGAGGAGGCGGAGGAGGAAGTAGAAGAGGAGGAGGAGGAGGAGGAGAAGTAGGAGGATCACGAGAAATCTAAGAAGGAGGATAAACAGCAGAGAAGTAAGGCGAGGAGGAGAAGAGGGAGAACGAAAAGGAGGTGGAGAAGAAGAGGAGTGGGATGACGAGGAGGAGGAGGAGGAGAAGTAGTAGGGGAGGGGAGAAGGGGTGGCTCCAGGGAACAGCGTTCAGGGTTGAACGCCCTCTGAGGGCCCACCTCCAGCACCGGGACCTAGAGGAGAGCAGCGCAGATTAGCTGTCTGGCATGCAAAAACCACGCCGGGTTTCATCTTTGTTTGTCGCCATTCCTTCAAAGAGGCAACGCGCCATATGAGTGTATGCTCGGCATCGTCGCAGTCGCTAGTCGAAACTTCATTCACCAGTTGTGCATGTGGCCCGTGGACGGTTTAAGCATCCATGTTCGCGTAGTCGTATTGCTCATGCCAGCAGGGGTGTGTGGGGTTGAGCCGTGCTGCCGCAAGGCCACTTCGTGCACTGCTGAACCCGACGACGAGGATGCAGCACAGGCCGCCCTGTTGCAGCCCTTTCTTCCGACACCTCATCATGTAATGCGCCTTTCTAATGTGAAGCGCGGGTTCGGCTGCATTGCAGCCAAGCAGTTCGTCATGTGCGTGACCCGTGGTCACACTGCCATTGCGCAGTTTGATCCCATCAGGTCAACTCCTGATTTGAGGACATGCCTCTCCGGAAGTAGTAACGCAACTCATCCTCATCCTCCTCCGCCTCATCCTCCTCCTCCCCCATCACCTTCAAACATCACCAATCCTTAGCTATTCTTGTGGCTGACACGCCATCGCCAGCGCAGACAACACCATCCTAGCTGGCCGCCTCAGCGCCCCCTCGCAGGCCCCCGGGCCCAGCACGCCGTCTCTGGGATCCAATGGGGCTTCATCGAAGGCCTAAACATCCAAGACAACATTTTCCCTATCGAAGCCCAGTTGCTGCAGTTTGTGCGCTTCTGAGGTTGCCCAAAGGCAGGAACGCTGCCGCTGAAAGTCCGCGCCCACGCTGCTCGCTGCTCGCAAGCTCTATTCTGACATAAGGAATGGTGTGCTGATATCACGCAGCGTTGTGCACTCTCGCTTTCAGTGACTTCCTTGCGCGGCACCATCTGCGGAAGTATTATGGAACGTATCTCTGCGCGCCGTGAAAACTAATGGATGGTCTCCTCGGTATTGTTATCGATTTTGTGTAACTACCGTGCCCCGTCTAGCCTACGCCCGCTGATAGACGAAGAGAGCGGTGGCATTTTGCGATATCAAACTACTGAGTACGCATGTTATTGTTCCCCGTGTATGATGATGTCCATTCGTGTTAGAACGTCTCAAGTTTGTTCGCGGAAAGGTGGCCCCGTCTTGTAGACGCGGTCATCCTTCGTACTGCGCGGTTCCTTGTGACATTCCCGTATCCTTTTGCCTCCCGATTGCCCAGAGTGGTTGCTTTATTGTGCACAGTTTGCTGCACAGTATCTGAAAATTCTTCCGCAGCGAGGGTTGTTCCGTAGGCTCCATGCTGGAGGCGTTGGTCAGGTCGCGGGCTCGCGGGAAAGCCGAGGGGCAGCCCGACATCCGCGTCTATCTGGCGGTACGCCAAGAATTCCCGGTGGGTCCATCATGCTGATGGTTATCGTCATCATCAGTTGCATCATCATCGGCATCAGCTTCATCACCAGCATCATCAGCATCATCATCATCATCATCATCAGCATCATCAGCATCACCAGCATCAGCATCAGCATCAGCATCATCAGCAGTATCATTATCATTAGCATCCTCATCGTCATCAGCATTAGCATCACCAGCATCATCATCATCAGCGTCGTCATCATCGTCATCAGCAGCATCAGCATCCGCAGCATCATCATCATAACCACCATCAGCATCATCATCACCACCACCATCACCATCACCACCAACACCACCATTATCATTATTATCATCATCATCATCATCAGCATCATCCTTATCCTTATCCTTATCACCATCGCCATCCGCATCATCATCACCATCATCATCAGCATCAGCATCATCGTCAGCATCATCATAACCATCATCAGCAGCAGCATCATCAGCATCATCATCGCCTGCGAAAGTCGCATCATAGTGTCAATCTGGTTCGGCCTCCAGGTCCCAGCGTCATTTTCAACCAGCCTCGCCTCTTGCGGTTTGACCGTGGGGCTCACAAAAGTGGCGACAGTTGCGCGATTGGCAGCGCCCAGGGAGGGGAGGTTCCGTTTTAGTCCCCCGTAAAAGCGCATGACCGATGGACCTTTCCAGAGTTCACGAAAGCGGCGGCAGTTGCGCAGATGGCGGAGGAACAGGCGGAGGAGAAGGCGAAAGAAAAGCAGGAGATGGAGGAGGGCATCGGCGTCGGCAGCCCCGCCTTCGCCAGTCGCCGTCGGATATTCGTTGTCGCCATCGCTGTAGCATCATCACCATCATCATCACCATCATCATCATCATCAGCATCATCATCACCATCATCATCGTCGTCATCATCAGCGTCACCATCATCATCATCATCATCAGCAGCATCATCATAATCATCATCATCATCATCATCATCATCATCTTCATCATCATCATCATCGTCATCATCACCATGACCATATTGCCCAGTCTCGTCATCTTCATCGTCCTTACCCTCTCCATCTCTCTTCTCGTCCTGCTTCCCCTCGCGGAAGTGGAGGGCGACGACGACAACGACAATCAACGACCCAGACATTCGATGCCTTGATGTTGTCGATACGGGATTTTCCAAGACGCTTGACATCAGAGACCACGATGACGGCGGTGGCGGCGACGGCGGCGGCTGCGGCGATGGCGGCGGGGAGCAGAGGCGGGAGGCGCCGCGCGCGTCGCGCGTGTCCATCTTCGCGATTTGTCGCCACTTCCGCGCCCGCTCCTCGATCCCGTGCAGCGCCAGTACAGTCATCGTGCTAACCTGAGGGGCGCTGAATAAGACACGAAAGGGCGTTTCTGGCCACGGCGAGCCGCGGCCACGAGTAGATCCCCGACACAGGTCCTCAGGAACGACCCGAAAACCAGAGCCTCCCCTGAACCCCAAAGCGGTCCTTCTCTCAGCCTCCCCACTGTAGCACCGTTGGCGCACCGCGTCTCGTCCGACTTCTGGCGGGCGGGTCGCTTGGGGGAAGGAGTGCCGGCGCGCGCGGCTCACAGGCCGCCCAGGTCTCGATGCTGCAGCGTTCGGTCGGCAACGCCAGCCTTGAGCCTGGGTGGGCCGCCCGGGAGCCGCGCCGCCTCCGCCGAACTCGCCGACGTCACCATCATCTGTCTCTCGAGCTTGCGTACTTCTCCCCTCTGGCCTCTGCCCCTCCTCACCTTTCCTCTCTGAACCTCTCCGCTGTTTCTCCCTCCTCAGCTGTCTCCTCACCAGCTCCTCGCCCTCGTGTTGCTCCTCCTATTACCTCCTCCTGCGCCTTATCCCCCAATGTGTTATCCTCATTCCGTTTCTCTTCTCCTCCTGGTCACCACCAAAATCATCAGCAGCACCTTGATCCACACCCACCTGATCATCCTCACTTCCCCTTCCTTCGCCTCCTGCTCCTGGTCCTCCTCCTCCTCCTCCTCCTCCTCCTCCTCCTCCTCCTCCCTGTCTTCCCTCCATAGCCATTGGGCTCAAGGCATTGCTGCCCGCACAGTTTCAGTTTAACGATTGGCGTTGCCTTCGTGCTGGATGGTGCGGCTCTTCATGTGCCCCCCCGTGTTTTCGGGACGAATGGGGGCTTCCTTTCGCAGCGCCAGGCGTCCTCAGCTGCTACGGTTTTATCGGAGAGGGGGCTCATCAACATGTGGCAATATGCAAGCACTTGTATCGGCAAGCGAGACATGAATTCTTGACGCTTCGTGTATCCCCATGGTGGCTAGCGAAGGTGCTGAGGAGGGGGACATCTATGATATGTGTACACACCTGTCTCCTGTCAGCACATCCGCAAAGGAGGACTCCTCCGCAAGCAACCCCCTCTGAGCTCGAGGCGCGGCCGGTGAGGATCCCCAAGGCCAATGCTGCACTCGGGTGCACTCTGCTTCCACTCCCTCCTCCCGACGCTCCCCGGCTGCCCACACACACGACCCTCTGCCTGGAAGGAGAGCAGTCGTACAGGTCAGTACGCAAACTTGTGAATTTCCTGCTGGAATGGAACCATGAGATTTACATCCGTTGGTCGACTTTCGGTGGAGAAAGGGTTGGAGACAAAGTGAGTGAGGACAGCGAGATATCCGATTGGACTCACAGCCAGTTGCTGCGCTTCCTCCACTCCATCTACTGTGGCCAGATCCCCAAGAATGGGCACCCCCTCACATCCCTTGGGACGGCCATAGAGCTGCAGCAGCCAATGCCATTGCGCAGCTGGTTGGGAGCAGCGAAAAGTTCCAGGAGGATTGGATCACCTTCTCAGCCGCGCTCGACTGCCAAAGAGGGCAAGACCCCTGGCTGCAGCCGTTGGGAACGCTGCACCACTTCTTATCCCTCAGGAAGGACGATCTCGCAGGGGGAACGCTGGAATTCCTCGCTGGCGAGCACAGCGCCCGGAGCAGCAACGACGCCGGAGATCACTCCCCCACCGCCGCCTGGCACAAGCGCCCTCCAGCCTCGGGCGGCCACACCATCAGCGATGACTTCAGTCAGCAGCACCCAGGGGCCACAGAAGCGACGAAGGAGATAAATAAAGGAGGAACCGTCCTCGGATAGGGACCCCCACGGTAACGGCGACAATCCGTTCGAGGTAGACTGGGATGAGGACAATCCAGAGAGGACGGTCTCCATGATCCACAGCCCCCCGCAGCAGGACGAGGAAGCCGAAATCAGCGGCCCCAGCGGCGGAGACGTCTCCCTCAAGCGGGCAGCGCTGTGGACAGCCCCCCCCGACAAAGAGGAAACTGCCAATTGGGCGCCCTACGCCACGGCCCGCTTCCGAGAGGACGTGGATGAAATCCGCGACAAAAGAGCTGACCAAAGGAAACTACGAGGGAAAGGGAGCAGGCCAGACTGCAATCAGGAGTCTATCTAGGAGCTCGCAGCCCCAGCGCACGAGACCCGCCGGGCGCCCAGCCCCCGGCAGGACAACAGCCCAGAGAGACGGCCGCGCCCACAGGCTGAGCCACTCCCACCTCCACATCAAAACGACCCCCTAGGAGGGCCCCCCATGCACATGAGGCCCATCGACGAGGCCGACATCCAGAGGGGCGAGACAGCCCAAGAGAAAGTCACCAGATTGCAGAAGGCACTCGGAGGCGCATTCAACGGGGCGTGGATAGGATGGGCTCGCAGGGCAGGTAGCCTACAGGGTCTACCGCGTGTCGATATCCACTCGGACCCCAGGAGGAACACAAGGGAGAGGTGCGAAGAATTCCTGCGGGCGTGGGAAGCCGCGGGTTACGACGCCTACAAGTTGGTGAGACACCACCATCTCCGCGTTGAACCAAGGGGCAAGACAGCAAGGGCAACCCATACCCTTGGTCCGACAGAAGGACGGTACCCACCCCCCTTGACCCACCCGACAGGGCAAGTCACCACGAGCAGACCTGGCCCTCCAGCACATACAGCGTGGCTGCGCCGCAGACCTGGCCCAGAAACGGCACAGCCGCCCCGCCAGCGTACACCGACAGGGAGACCACCTGGTCGGGAGCATCCAGCTCTGGAGCCCCATGGCGCCCAAGGCCGCGATGGGAAGGGCGGGGCCAGCAGGATAGCTCTTGGAAGGGGGGCTTCGTGGGGGAACAGGGAGAAAAGGACCGCCCCGAAAAAGTGACGAGCAATGCGCCGACAAGCGACAGCGAGGATGGGAGCTCGCGCGCTGGTAGACCGGCAAAGGGCCTGGCAGGAGCCCCCCGACTAGGGCGAAGCCGTCTCTACAAAAGCCGCCAAGACGCGCGGCGCCAGGTCGCCGGGGCAACGCGTGAACCCCCTCCGCGGAAGATTTGCCGCGCACGTGTGCCGTGGGACTTCCCTAGGACGCTCCCACCCCAGACGATGTCCTGCGGCTGGGGCGCTCACCCTAACCCTTCGCCACACTCTCCAGTTCCGCGGCTATCGGCTGCACTCCCCTTTCCTCGTCGCCACTTGCTGTCTGTCATTCCGCGGCGATCGGCTGCTGACCCCCCTTTGTCGTCCGATTCTACACTCTTGACTGCGGCGATCGGCTGCTAACCCCCTTTCTCGTCGCCACAGGGTGCGATTTCCGAAGGAGGATGAGTTGCTGCGGGCCCCAGGGCCACTGGGTCACCACCAGGCGGCCGCTCCTGTCGGCAGACTGCGACAGGTCCTGTTTCACCGATGCAGTGGGCCACTGGGGCGGACGGTCGTTACCTCCTGGGGTTGAGGTACCCCCCCACCACCGAGATAGTTCCTGCGTTCGCGTGGGCCTTTAGCCCGTTCGGCCGGCTAAAATAATCCCGTCGCGGTTTGGCCGCAGCGGCGGCCCGCGGTGCTTCGAGAGGGCTCGCTCAAGGCGCTTCGCCCGCCCTCGGCATACTACACTTTCATTTTGCCCGCGACGCATGCGGGCCGGGACACACCGGGCGCTGGCCTCAGCCATTCCGGGCGCCCATCCTTTGGAGTCGGCAACATGCAGTGGCTTCCACTTCGTCGCCCGTAGGGGCGGCGGCTTCTGACCCCCCTTTCACATGGGCGCGTTGACAGCACGGTCGGCCGCGTGTCGGCATCGGCGGACACGGGCGTCGGTCAAGGCACCGTTCTGGCGCTTGTGTTAGACGTCGGCCACAGTCACAGGAGTGCCTTCGGGATGCGCAAGCCGCGCACCGCCTTGGTACCAGAGGCCATCGCGGGCGCTCTCCTTCGTGGTCGGCCATCTCGAGGCATTGGCCCGAACCCCCTCAGCGGCGCACAGTCTGGCCGACGTTCCAATTGAGTGAGTGGTTTTGGCACCTTCCGCCCGGCAGTCTGGCCCCACCTGCGGGTCCGACCTTTCCGCCCCCCCCCCCCCCCCCCACCCCGCACTCTCGCTGGCATGCGCTCAGCGGCGGCACTTATCATTTGCATCCTTCGTTCGCTGGCACATGTCCAGCGATGTTAATTTTCTCTCTTCTGGCACATGCTCAGCTGCTTCTGGTAGTCGCGCGCGACGCCCGGGCTTCTGCCGGCGCCTTCGCGGCTGCCTTCTCGGCCGGCACTTGTGCTGCGCCGTTAATTACATGCCTTCCCGTGCGCTGTGCCCCAGCCTCGTTCACACCGCCCTCTGGACTTTTCCTTGCGGGCCGCGAATCAAAAAGTATCCTCAATTTTTACCGCAGCCTGGCTCAAGCCGTCTCGGCTCGAGCCCGCCCCCGCCAGGTGCGCGCCGCGCCGAGCCCGACATGTCTGCCGCCTGCGCCGCCGCCGGCGCTGCCCTGCGGCGGCGGCAGCGGGTGGCTGCTGCCGCCCGCGGGCCGCCGGGGCTGGCCGCCGCCGCCGCCGCTGCGCCTGCGGCGGCGGCGGCGGCCTGCCCGCCGACGCACTCGCCGCGGCCGCCGCCGCCGCCGCCGCGGCCGCCTCAGGCGTGCCACTGGCGGGGCGGCCGCCGCGGCTGGCGTCGCGGCTGCCGCGGCCTCCATGCCCGGCTGCGGTGCCGCCCCTGCCGTCCACTCCGCGGCTGCTGCCACTGCCGCCGCTGCAGCCGCCGCCGGCTCGTCGCCGGCGGCGGCGGCGGCGGGCGGCGCGGCGGCCCGCCTTGCGGCGCCCGGCAGCGCTGACTCTGCTGGGGGCGGCCGGGCGCCGCACACTGGATCCCCGCTGCGCGCCGGCGACGTCGAGAGCGAGCCGGGCGTTCAGGCCCCCTTCGGGCCTTTGGGGCCCCGCCGGCTGCACGTCGCACCTCGGGGCCCTCAATGTGCACGAGGGGGGCGACATCGCGGACCCTGAGGAGATGAAGCGGCCCCTGAACGCGGAGTTGGCCAACGGCCGCCTGGCCATGATGGCCATCGTCGGGACGTTCCTCCAGGACGGCCTCGCGGGCTCCGCCTGGGGCGACTGGGCGACCTACACGGAGTCGCCGCTGCGCGCCTTCGAGAGCGCCTGGGACTTGCAGGCGCCCGTCGGCTACTGGGGCCCGCTCGGCCTTGCGAAGGACGTCGGCGCGGACGTCCCCCGCAGGAGGAGGCGCACCGAGGTCAAGCACGGCCGCGTCGCCACGCGGGCCGCCATAGGGCACATCGTGCAGGACTTCTTCCTGTGGCCGGGAGGTGTCGCCCCGAGGGGCCAGCCCCTGCGGGTCTTCCGAAAGGCCTGATCG